CCAACAAAGAGAAGGGGCAGTAGCACAAGGATATTCCAAGGATTGTTAGCAGACCTGTACTGATTTGTGGGCCTTGGCAAGTGTCCAATGATACTTACCCCCAAAGTCAGTAATGGCTTTTTATAAATGAAATGCCTGCCAAATTTATTGGGGAATGTTTATGGAACCTTGGTTGTCTTGATGAACTATATAGCTGAATAGGCACATGGGCTTATGCCAGCCGCAACCTCCCTTTCCGGTTCTTGGCTTTGTCCCATTTTCCTGTTTCTTTTATTTGCTTTTCTTTGAGAAAAAAAAATCCTTTCATATGAGCTAAGAAACCAAACTTTTTGCTGGACAACTGCAAACTTTAGCCCAGAAAGTGGTAGGAGTGGGATGTGATAAAGAATAATGCAAATTATACTCATTGCATAGAGCAGGGGTAGGCAACCTAAGGCCCGGGGGCTGGATGCGGCCCCTCGAGGCCTTTGGACCGGCCCCAAGCCGGTCCTGCCGCCACCACCGCCCCCCACCCCCTGCTGCCCGCCATGATAATATTGATTATTGTTGTTATTACTTGTTCTTGGGGTTTTCTTGGCAAAATCTCCACAGGGGTTTTGCCATGGCTTTTCTGAGGCTGAGATAATGTGCATGCATTTTTTTTAATTTTTTTATTTTTTTAAAAAAATATTTATTTATTTATTTATTTATTTTTGGTGCTTTGGCCCCCCAATTGTCTGAGAGACAGCAACCCAGCACCCGGCTCAAAAAGGTTGCCTACCCCTGGCATAGAGGGTGACAATGAAATGCATGTGCATCTCAGGTTTCTAATGAGGCAGAAATTTATATAGTCATTATAAAAGAGCAAGCTTAAATTGTTTCAGAAGTGTATAATTAGTCATATCCCACTTGGATCAATACTCTCAGTAGTCTGCTTTTGAAAAATGTTCAAAAACCTCAGATGGCCCAGATTGCTATGGTCAGATTACTAACTATGGCAGATTATTGGAAGCATGTGACCACTTTGTGATGACTACTTTGCGATGACAGCTTCATTGGCTACTCAAATGTTTCCAGACATAATGCAAAGTGCTGGCTGTGATTTATAAAGCTTTATGGGACTTTGGTCTAGGCTGCCTTGCTTGAACCTGCCTGGGTTTTAAGATCTTTGAGGTAGACCCTTCTCTGAGTCCCATCACT